TTTGTCATCTCATATTTCACTCTCTCTCTTGCTGTGACACATACACTTTTTAAAATAAACTGACTGGGTAGGTGTCAGATATGCATGGGTATTGTCAGATGTTTGTATTATATAAAAAAAAAGATTTATGTCTGATGTTTAGGAATAACCAGTGCATCATGGACTTTGCTTAAATATCATTAAGCCTTAAGTTTTTCTCCACAAACATATATCACTTTATTGCTGACTGCAATGTCTCTGAAGTTGAGTCTGAAATAACTTCACACTTCTTCCTCATTATTCATTTCCTCCTATGTAATTATGCGGGATGTCATTAATGCAACAAGAATGATGCTCACAGGAGTGTGCATTCTTAAATGATGAGGATATGTGTGAAAAGTTAGCATTATAAACTGGTTTTATCTGCTCTACCAGTTTGACGGAGCCTCCTGGCACTGCAGAAGTTGCTAAATGAGGGCATGTTTTGAGAAATACCTGCTTTCCTTTTACTGTCTACTGTCTTCTGCTCTTCTGAATGATTTGCAGTTCAGTATTTCTGAGCATTCTGACACTACAGGGATTTGTTCTCATAGTTCTACCTTTATTTTTGGGGAAGTGAAAACAGTGTGGTTGACTGTTGGTTAGACATAACATAACAATAACTGCAGTAAAATGTGACCCACTAAACTTAAGAAAGTACTACATTTAAAAAGTTGATGGAACATGGAGAATGAAATGCAGTAATACACGTTACAAGATTTTTCTCCTCTGAACCTTGGTAAAAAGCCAACTCAGCCTTCCTCTTATTTTATTGTCAGCTTTCTTTTAATAAGTGGCATGGTTACTGGCATTGTGCAGGTTTGTGGTTTGTGTTGTGCACAGAGCAGAAGTCCTGACTTCCACAGGAATGCAGCTGAACTGGAAGTTTTCCCCAGCTGTCACGTACTTGCCTCCTCCCGCCTCTTCTCACATCTTGTGACCTCATCTTATGTGAGAAAAGGAACTGTAGTAATCTTTACAACAGTTCATTTCTTAACAGTGAATCATAAAATTGTAGTGGGCAACCTAGATTTAGTTCGCAAGGCCAGAACAATTGTCTCCAGAGCAGCACTTCTGTTATATTATCTGAGAAGCATTTTGTCACTTGTCACTGTAATTAGCATATAAAACTTGGTCAGTTGGTCAGATTTCTTCTCCCCCTCCCGGTCATTGTTTTTTTTTTTTTTTTCCTTTTTGCCCTTATGTCTGGGAAACAATTGTCTGCACATTGCTGACCGTGATGTAGTCATGACAACTCCACGTGAGTGTGGGAGTTGTGAGAGGACCTTTTGTCAGGGTATAAAAGTGGCCTGTATTCTCCAGCTCTCCTCGCAGATGCAGTGTAAGAGTTAACTTGCCCACTGAATTGCTCCTAATTGTATTCCCTCGCCTTCAGGAAATACATATGGTTTTATCACCCATTTGCTGCCACCTCAGACACATTGGCGAGCCGATAACTTGAAAACTGTTTGATGGATCTTTTTGAAACTTAGCTCAAGCATTATGTAGCTGAGGAAGTAAAAGTTTAAAAAAAATTTGAGACAGATCTCACCAAAATTGAAGCAGTGCTGCATAGTGATTGCAAGAAGGGCGAGTTTTAACACTTGATCTCATTAAGATGATAACTCTGAGTTTTTGACAGCTCTTTTTCAAACTTTGCAGAGGTAATGTACGGGTACCAATCTGGAAATGCTTAAATATTCAGCTAGATTGCCCCAAAACTAAAGTAATGCCATTTAGTGGCAGCAAAGGAAAGGGCTTTAGATGACATTTTGCATTGTGAATGTGCTGAATCAAAAAGTATGTGATGGCTTTTATTACTCCTTCACAAATACATTATGTGGATGAAGAACTACACTTGGTTTCATTTTCAGACAAATTGCCACAAAAATGAATCAGCAGCGCAGCCTGGCAGTAAAGGAAGGAAACGGCACCTATGGAGAACACTTGATCCTGTGAACACAGTAACTAAAAGTATTTAAGGATCTTTTTCAAACTTGGCAAGCACATTGTAGGGGTGGAAAAACTGGAAGTGATCAAATTTTGAGACCAGCCAAAACTGAAGCAGCACCGTATTGTGAAAGCAAAACAAAGGGATGGTTTCAGAAATTTGATCCCATTAGCATGATAACTCAAAAAGTATTTGAAAGATATTCTTCCGCCTTTGCAGACATGTTCTAAGGGTGATGATCTGGATCTGATCAAGGCCACACCAAAACTGAAGCAATGACACTTAGTAATATCAAAAAGAAGGATGAGTTAATTAGAGGCATATTCTTGTGAACAGGATCACTCTATTTGTCATTATTACTGTATTTACTCTATTTGATCTTTGATGGATCCTATTACCATTTCACAAAACCACTATATATGGATACATATCTACATTTGAAAATCTTACCCCTGCTAGACTCTAAATCAACCCAAAATTGCTACTGCACCACAGAGGGTAGCAAAAATAGAAATTCAAGATACAGGGCGGCCGAGACTGAAAATGGAGCTTGCAGCAGCCATCTTTTGAACACAGCCATCTGCCATCTAAACGTATTCCATGGATTTTTTTACAGACTTTCCAGGAACCTTGTGGTAGTCAGAGATTGTGGGGAAACTGTGGGGTTCAAGGAAATTTTCTTAAAATTCTATAATAACTATATCATTACTGACCTCCCCATTAAGCAAATTTTATCCATAGCAGTCCAGTACCTGGTTAGCAAAATGTATTGTGGGGAACTCGGTGAAATTTAGTGAAAAGAGAACGATTACCTGCTTTTAACCATTTAGAATGTGAGTTCAGCCGTCAGCCAACTAACTTTTTCACCAGTATTCACCAGTAGTGTTCTTGTTGATTGTAGCTAATCCTGTGTATATAAGGTAAATAAGAACATTCTTTTTTTTTTATTGTGCAAAAGAAAAGTGTCAGTGTAGTGGTGCATTTAAGCATTTTGGGAAACATGAGGATTAGTTTTTGTACCCGTTCCGTATTTTGCGCGATTGCCCTGTATTGAAAAATAAAATGCTGTGTATGGTTTTGAACCAATATGGGACACGATTTGCCTCGTAGTTTCGTGCCACGTGATTCCCCTCACCCCCCCCCAAATACATTTTTTATTTTGGACTTTGGAAAGTGGGGGGTGGCCTCTCTTATTTCTTAAAATCAAAAGTGGCAACTTGGCAAGTTGGTTTTTACTTCACGTGAACGCGGGCGTGCTGTGGCAGGCTCGACACTGTGCTGGACAGACCACGTCCCTGAATATAATTTCTTCTAGTGCCAGTGTGCCTAGTTACTATGTACTTTAATGCCAGGCCTGGGGTGGTGCTGTAGAGCAGAGCTTCTTTTAAAGTCATGTAAAGAGAACTCACTTCTCTTTGAATTCACGTTGCCCATTACCTTCCAGAAGCACTCCGTTCACTTTGTGGTGCACTTTAGCTTTTATGTGGTGGCAGACCATTTCACATTCACATTTGGTCCTTTTGGACACTGAACTGATCATTGTAGTCATCATTCTTGACAAAACACCAAGTTTGAGTGAATGACCCATATTTTAATATTTGTTTTATTTAAGGCTGTCAAAATTAACGGGTTAATGTGGATTAATCCATCATCATGATTAATCTGATTAAAATTTTTTGCGCAATTAACCCATCTGCAGCGCAGAATGACTCAAAATCCCTGAAATGTCTCTGTCAACCGATTTTGGGCAGTTTTGGTGCACTCCATTTGCCCTGGGAACTCGTATTCCGAGTCGGATTCTGAGTTTTGAAGCCGGAAGTGACGACATGAACGCTCCCGTTTGAATCAGTGAGGAAAATCCATGAGATTCTAAAAAGGCTGATTAATGTGACTTAATTCTTAGGTTGTCAGGAGCTGGCATTTGGGGGACATGAACTCTAACAGCAAAGAAAACTAAAGATGTGCTTTACCAGGATGATGATGTTCTGGTTTTGTTGTGTGGTTGTGTTACAATATAATGTACAAATAGTAAAGCAAAACAGTAATGTAAAGTAACCTACTAATTATAATAAAAGGCTAATCCAATAAAAAATACTTAAATATGCAAATATAACTAAATGACCACAGAGCATACTCTTTGTCTATAATAAAAAGTACCAGAGAATGTTATATATTTATTTAATTGAATTATTCACATTCATTTTAGATTGTAACATTTTTAAAAATATAAGAATAATAAAACATTTTATATCATATGTTCAGCTTTCGGATAGCTACAATATTGCATTTAATCATGTAGAGGAGCATGACTTAATACAGCCCTCCAGAGTGCGTGGGGAAAAATGTAATTAAACGCACTTAAGTCAGTGGCAAAATGTGCATTAGGGTCATTTGCACGGAGAAACGGAGCCTAACTGCACTTAAGCCCCAAACTTAAGTCGATGGGAGGATTTGCTAAATGAATAGGTGTAATTTCAAAATTATCTGTCACAACTTGAATTCAAGTAAATACACATTTGTTGGCACATTTCCAGTTGATCCATCCAGTACTTCTAGAAATTACACGGGTCGGTGAGTGTGTGAGGAGTATGGATTAGATGGACAGAGCCGGTGATGGGGAATACAATGCTGTGATTGTCACCTTATACCATGGGTTTGGTAAATACTGTTTTTTTTTTCCGGAGATGCCATGTAGGTGTTGATTATATTTGTGTACAGGTATTTCCGGGAGCCTAATAATAGCTATATATTATTGCGTTGTGACTTCTTACTCATAAATTAGCAGTCATTCTAATCAGCATAAATTCCTTGGCTTTCAACAGGCAAGAGCCTGTCTGATGATGGTTTCTATGGTAACTTAATGGACAGTACACCTTGTTATGATTTATGCCTTACATGTATTATCATACAGTTTGTTGTTTCTCATTCAAGGTATGCATGAAATTTAATCTAAATTGTGCAGTGAAAGATGTATATTTTGTATTTGTCTGAACAAACAGGTATTCATATTATTATTTTTTTCTTTTTTTAGGGTTTAAATGAAGATAGTCCCTCTACCTTGTGAAGAATTTTAGAAGAGAAGTCTGTTTGACCTTGCAACTCTTGGTACTTGCTAACTTATTTTTTGTATATACTATTTTAGAAAACATTTGTTTGCAAAATCATGTCACCACATTAGAAAAGGACAAGATGGGTCCTCTGGCGATGGATAGGAGAAAAAGGATAGATAACTAGAAAGACAGAGAGCAGTCACTGCTGCTGTGCTTCCTCCGCTGTTACCACAGTGAAATAGCAGGTGTGACCAGATAGGGCTGTTTGCCGGCGCTTTAAGGAAAGCTGCTGAACAGCTGAAGGGGGAAAACTGACAGGAAAAGGTTCCCTGGGAACAAAGAGAGAAACAGAAACGGAGAGAGACAAAGAACAAGAGGAAAGGAGGATAGGGAGGAGAGGTAGAAGCTGTCCCCAATGGCAACGGACCCTGGAGAACCCACATCCACAGATGACTCCTCTGACAAACCTGATGGAGGGCAGGGCCGAGCATGTGAGCCGGGACCTGAGGATGGGACTGGCAAGGAAAGGGAGCGGAATCACAGCACACCCTCCGATTTTCCCTCCTCCCAAACTAAGGAGAAAAGTGGGGGAGGTGGCGGGGGCGAGGAGGACTGGCGTCCACCTCGGCCTCTGTCGGCCTCTACGCCGTCATCCCCAGCAGCTCTAGGTGGCAAACTGAAGAAGGAGAGGAAACGCTTCTTCCGGAAGAGTGTGGAGATTTGTGAGGAGGAGGATGAAGTGGAAGTGGCACTGGGTGTGACGCGAAGCGCCCCTCACCTAGACTCCAAGACTTCCGATTCTGTATTTGCTGACAGTGCCCCACAGCAAGTGCCTGACTCCACCACCTCTGCCACTGTGGCGGATGATGGCTCTGGCGTTGCCTTCACCATTGGCCTGGATCCTGACAAGAGTGGCCCTACTGTGTGCTCCGCCCAGAAGGGCAAGGAAAGAGACCGGGAACAAGAGGAGGAGGCTGAGATGAAGGCGGTGGCCACCTCCCCTGGAGGACGCTTCCTGAAGTTTGACATTGAGCTGGGCAGGGGAGCCTTCAAGACTGTGTACAAAGGGCTGGACACAGAGACCTGGGTGGAGGTGGCTTGGTGCGAGCTGCAGGTGAGAATTCTGTGTTCTGTCTCTGGAGGAAGTCATAAAACCCTGTATGTCTCCTCTATTACTGTTTGTGCTGTGACAAATGGGCAATATTTATGTGTTAGATTTCGTTATCCACTCTTATGATTGTGCAGTAATGGAGAATAATGGAAACTAAACCAGAAGATTTTTTTGATGAAATTGTTTATTTCTGGGTGTGCAACAGATATTCATACAGACACTAACACAGGACATTGTTTAATCATAACCAGTTAGGAACCAAAAGATGCCAATGACCACCAGGAAAACACTGAATTTTGATCAAATTTGATCACTCCATCCTTTGTCTGCTGCAAGTGTATTTGCATAATGGCATATTGTCACTTTAATGACATTAGGTAAGGACAAATGGTGCTTTTCTACTGCCACCAGGAACCAAGCTGTACCACGAACTGACGGTTTTCCATTGTAAATTGTCCAAGGCGTACCCGAGCCGTACCCGAGCCGTACCCGAGCCGTACCCACGCTGACTATGGCCCTGATCACTAGCAGGGCTGAAAGTGTTACCAAACCAGACCGGTTGCTTCAACACCATCTGACTGGTCAAATTGTAGTTCTGCATCCAAGGAAAAAAGGGCATATTCAATATGTTATTAATTATTAGTAGTTTCACACATTGCAATGTATTGCTGCATTCCTAATAGCTAGGAACATGATAATATCCAACCACCTGCTTAAAAAAATATTATAGGACAGCTGAACGGAATGGATTTGTAATGCAAATTCAATGCTAATTCTGCTACCGTTTGATGCTAACATAACACAGCGATTCTCACAGACTTGCTAGCGGAAATTAGCAGATAGGACATCATGATGTACACTGTGGGAACATTTAAATAAGTATCTCTTTCGTTTCCTGTCACCACTGTTCTCTAAACCCGGCAACGCCTATACCAAACTGACCCTTCTGCAGTGAAAAACAGGAGCGAGCTGGAACAGCTCTGGAACTAGTCTTTGTGGTACGGGTCACCTACGGCTTGGTTCCCGTGCCAGTGGAAAAGTGCCATAAGTGGTTTTCAGAGTAACATTAACACAATAGTTTTTTATGATTATCTGAAAATTTTGTTTTGCAAACTCCTATCACATAATGAATTATTTTATTTATCAGTGAGACAATGGCACAGTACGGGGACTCATTAAGTAGCACTAGGGCTGGGCGATATGGACTGAAAATCATATCTCGATATTTTTAGCTGAACCGTGATATACGATATATATCTCCATATTGTTTTCCCATAAAGTAATAACAAATAGACAGTTCCAAGTCAGAGCCAAATGTCCTCAATGTCATATGGACACTTTTATTTACAGACAGCTGTACAGCATATGTACATGAAAAAATGGCTCAAAAATGTCGATTTGTCCTACCTTACTGTCTTTCGACAGATATATCTATCGATTGGTGCTACCTACCGAAAATGTTATTGTCATGTTTATGTGCTGAAACTGAAAGCGGATATCCAAAAAATAAATACATAACTTGTCTAAAAACTAAAACGAACTAATGTAATGTAAGCAGGCATTGCGAGTCTGAAATACCTTATAAGATTAAGTGTTAAAACATGTCAGGTAATTCAACATACAGCGTAGTAAATCAGCGTGATGCTGACGGTAAAGTGTGATCAGTGTATTTAATAAAATATTTTAAATGTATGAACTTTGAAGACACAGAAATAATCCATAACTCCAATGCAAGGTAGGACAGATGCACATACCCTTTTCAGTACAGGGAGCATGAGAACATCAGATTAGAGGGTGAAGATTTGGAAGTATTTTACGCATTTAACGTCAAGTAGTAGCATAGCGATTTAGCAATCTTTGTTAAAACAAAGTTTTGAGTGGTGGATGCAGAGTTTAGTAGAAAATCCTACTAAAAGAAAGTGCACACAATTGTATGAGACAACACGAATAATATAAAAAAACAAACAATGGGTGATTTGGGAGTCGACAGCTTTGGCTGTTTTACGTACACGCTACAGCTTGTGATACAGCAGGGGCGGCTATCGCATCTAAGTGTAAGTGAGGCTGTTGCCAGAGGGTGAAAAATTGTGGGGCATTTTAAACATTCGCCACTTGCATCTCCTCATTTGGAAGATATTGAAATAGAACTGCAAATGCATCAAAAATGCTTTACAAAGGAGGTGGGACAGTATGTTATGTATGTTACCAATATCCAAATTAAAGCTTTTTTGGCATACACTTTTTATTTGTATTTACTGTGTTTAAAAATATTAATAACATATAAAGTATAAATATTAATTTATTATTTACACTTATATTAAAATATTAAATTAAAAAGAGCTCTTGTATCGGAATCTGTATCAGTATCGGCAATTGTGTATCGGAATCGGATCAGAAGTGGATCGACCCATTCTTAGTATCAATGATGAAGACCATCAGGCAGCTGACAAGCTAGCTAAGTAAAAAGTAATGTTAGAGGTGCTCGATATTATTATTTACGCTAACATATTATTTACGGTTAACATATCGATATTTGGTAAAAATCAAGATATTGGCATTGGTCTGAAGTATTAATCTTGGCTGATATTGCAGGCCAATATTCAAACTTTTTATCAATAGCACCAACTAAAGACAGAGCTAACAGAATAATGCAGAAGATTGTATTGGATGGTCAGGAATTTTCCATAGAGGAGGACAAGGTAGCATTTCCTTTAATGTGTTTAATTTTATTTTCCTGTACAGGTCAGTAGTTGGTCTTTTAACAATTTTACACTAGCATGTTCTTTCTGCTTAATAATAGCAATACAAATGAATGCTTTTTTGCATTCCATTAACAGTGTGTATTAAGTACCCATGGTAATATTTCTCATTTTTTTCAGTGAAGTTAAAATGAGGTTAGCAGAATAATCAGTTAATCGAAATGAAATGTGAAATTAAAGATTCATAATGCATTCCCTCAATAGTCATAATCAAATCAAATTGCCTTGGGATCAACCATTTAGATCCTTATCCATCAGTGCTTAATAGTCTGGAGTGACTGCAAGTGGTGAACAGCAAAGATTTGACCCTTTGCCAATGGGGATTTGAATGTGTGTGAATATTTGAGACAAAACACTAAATGGTGTTAAAAAATTATTTTTCAGGGAGGATGAGACAAAATAGGACCCCCTGTATAGGGTGTGGGACTGCCTATGAATGACAAAGGGAACTCATTTCCTGCCTTTTTTGTCATTTGAGACAAACATTGAATAACAGAACACATGGCATTTGACTAATATGCATTTGAATAATATGCTTAAATGTTATTTCAACTGTCCTGCCCACAGATGACCCAAATATCGTTAAAACATTTTTGTTTGCAATAAAGCGTACTATTTGAGAGTGTTTCTGCTTTTTAGGAAAAATATTGAAAATTGTATAAATTGAAATTCATGACTTAGTATCGGTATCAAAACAATAATTTTGCTACCCTGACAACACTAGTGTGTGCAGAACAAGTGGCAAATTTCTTTGGTTGAGAAATGACCAAGCAGAGTGGAGTGTGTAGACGCTGGGGTGGGTGTGTAAGGGTGTTACAGTAGGATGGGGGTAAATAAGAATATCTGCTAATATGCCGTCAGAAAGGGGACTAGTGGCTCATTGTTAGTTTAAGGTAAAAAAAAAAAGAAACTGCTGAATAAGTGCTGTGTGAGCTGTTGTAACTTCTGGCCCTGTGCTCCCATTGGCTATATCACAGCTCATAGTGCGACACACACACACACACACCTCCCCTATACACCAGCATGATGGAAGCATGGCAGGCACATGACTGATACTATACCGGTCTTTACAGTAGCTGTACATGTGCAGCTGTCACAATTTGTGACAATTTGAATTGACTTGATTGGCTAATTCCACTCATTATATGTCGTGACAAAGAGGTTTATATATTTTACAATATCATGATAATAGTTACCAGAGCACAAGGACACTTCCTTTAGATACATTATATAATCAAAATATTGATGTAGAATGACGTCTGAGCCTGTTATCGGTTTGCAGAACAAAAATGTGTCCTGTTCAATGGCATTTTTTGCATTAAGAACTGTATTTGATATTGCTTTTATATTAAACCTGCTTTCATTCTTAATATCACAGCTAGTAGTGACTTGCTACCAGAAAGGCACCTCAAGACACACAGACAAATCTCCACATGCATTTGCAGATCTGCCATGGCAAAAGTGTAGCAAAAATCAGATGTAAAAAGACAGCAAATTGAGAGGTTTGCCTGAGTTGTAACCGATGACTTGTCGGTATGTTCAGCTCTTGGAGAAAAAAACTTAGACTTTTTAGCCATTAATACTTATGTACGCATTTACAGATTTGTCCACACACGTACAAATCTTGGTACACTTGCAAATCTCATTACGCATACGAATCTAATTACGCACACGGATTCTGAATACACATTTACAGATTCTTTTACACATATAGAAATCTGATTACACACACACGGATTGAGATACAGTCACACAACTCTATACACATTTGCGAGTAATTTTGCTACAATAATAGGCCAGAGAAAAGGGGGAATAAACAGCACGAGGAGTCGAATGGGGACGTGGGGAGGGAAAGAGAGACTGAGAAGCCAAATGAGATTAATGTGGCCATCCGTCCTGCAGAGAGACCGGGTGGCTGATGCTAATGTGGCTGATTCTCTCTCTCTCTATCTATCTATCCATCTATCCATCCATCCCGGATAAATGTAATTCTCCCTCACATCGTAACCCCCCTCCCCGTTTTCTTTTCCTCTTTTTTTAAGTATTGCCCGATGTTTGCTGACATATCAGTTTCTGTTTTTCCTGCCTGTTAGATAAGGCCCTTTGTTTCATAGATGCTAAAGGTATAAAACAGCTCAGTTCATTGAAACCATTATACAGAATTAGATCAGTATGGTGTTTTCTTGGTCCATTGGGTCAGGTTAGCTCTTGGAAGAGTGAACTGGAAGTCTTGGTCCCATGTGT